TGGCTTCACTGAGTTACACAAGCCCCTTCGCCACGACAAGGCAGTGATCCATGAAGGGGTCCAACTAATTACTCAACCCCAAGCCTAGGAACATATCTATGTCTTCAAAGCCTTCTGAAAAGCTGGCAGTGTCAGGACCAATCAGATCTCAGGGGCATGGTGTTCCAAAGGGCAGGTGCTGTGACAAGAAAGATCTGCTTTCTGGGTCCTGCAAGATAGCATTCTTTAATCAGTGGGACCCACAGCATGCCTGCAACTCATTGGATGGGTAGAAACAATCAGAGAGGGGTAGTCCCACAAATCACCTGGTCCCATGCCATGACAGGTTGATAGGTAACAACCTGTACCTTGAACTATACAGTGGTACCTCGGTTCATGAACTTAATTTGTTCCATGACTCTGGTCGCGACCTGAATTGGTCGCGACCCGAATCAAATTTTCTCATAAGGTTCAATGTAATTACGGTTAATCCGTTCTGACCCTTCCGAATTTGGTTGCCAACCAATTTTGGTTGTGACCCGAATCAAATTTTCCCATAAGGTTCAATGTAATTACGGTTAATCCGTTCTGACCCTTCCGAATTTGGTTGCCAACCAATTTTGGTTGTGACCCGAATCAAATTTTCCCATAAGGTTCAATGTAATTACGGTTAATCCGTTCTGACCCTTCCGAATTTGGTTGCCAACCAATTTTGGTTGTGACCCGAATCAAATTTTCCCATAAGGTTCAATGTAATTACGGTTAATCCGTTCTGACCCTTCCGAATTTGGTTGCCAACCAATTTTGGTTGTGACCCGAATCAAATTTTCCCATAAGGTTCAATGTAATTACGGTTAATCCATTCTGAACCATATGTATTTTTTTTTTAAACCACAAAAATATGACACAAAGTACAGTACGAAGAGAGAGAACGCTAACCTTGCTCGACGCAACCTCTGGCATGGAGGACAGGAAGGTGGATGGGGAGGCAATTATTGCTTGGTGGGAGAGTTCCCCTCCCTACAGGAAGCCATGACCACATGTCACGGCAGGGAAAATGGCCGCAGATCCTGTTTGTCACCCGATCCAGCGTTCGTGAACGGAAGCAAAATTTTGCAAATGGTGCTGTTCATGACCCGAATTGGTCGTGAACAGAAGCGTTCGTGACCCGAGTTACCAGTGTACCTGGAATCCCATTGGGAGCCAGCACAGCTCACAGAGCAGGGGTATAACATGCTTGTGCTGCCACATTCTGGCCAGTTGCTACTTCTGGATGCTCTTCAAGGGCAGCCCCATGTAGAGAACATTTGTAATATTCAACTCAGGAGGTGACCAAATCATGAGTGACCATAAGCAGCAACCTCCCAGTCCAAGAAAGAGTGAAATTGACAAAACGCAGTTGTGCAACAGCCCTCCGTGCAACATTTGCTACCTGCTACCCCAACAGAAGCTATGAATCCAGGAGGATGTCTAAATTGTGCACTAGTTTGAAACAGTGCAATCCATCCAGAACTAGAGATGGAAACTCCCTGGCTCTGAGGACATCTAAAATGCTCTATCAATCAACTTTGGACAGAGTTACTCTCCTTTGATCACAAACTACCAGGGCCAATCCCAGTATGCAAACAACCAATATCGCAAAGTCTCTAGGAAGGTGGCTAAATTCTGTGCCAGAGCAATGGTGATCAGAAGCCATTGGGTCTAAACACAATACAGGTATGCTTAATTCCAGTTGCGAATAGGCTTTTTAGCTTCAATATTTTGTATTTCTTTTTTTTTTGTACTTCACCTGTAGATTCTTAAATAATAAAAAGGTTGCCTAATTTTGCCTAGCTCTGAAAATTCAGGATTCATTAATGCAACCATGTCTTTTTTCAGTAACATTTTCTCTTCAGAACACTTTGTCTTACAATTACTTAATAACATTCTTAATGGACCCCATTTTTTATGACTGTTGTCACAATAGAGATGCTACTGTTCTATACCTATGGCACACAACTATATTTTAGATAAATGTGCCTTTTTGCTTTTTTTTTTTTTCAAATCAATGGATCACAATTAGACGACCATTTATAATGTTTATAATGTTTGCTCATTAATATGTTTGCTAGATTCCTGTTGGTTAAGTACTTGGGAACAGAAACATTTTCCTGTAATTTGTCAAGCTTCACTGAGTAATTGCGAGATAAAGCTCCATTTGCGGATAATCAAATTAAAGAATAAATTAAATAAAATATTGGTATGAAACTCAATCTGCAAAGAAGATCCTTGGCCGCCCTGTTTTTGACATAAAGCAGGTAGAGCTTTGTTCACAGCAGTGGCACTGGAGGATCCTTTCTCTAGAATGGTTTTTGCAACTTTTCCCTCCCCATGGTCCCCACACTGAATTTCCTCTTCTGAATAAAACACACAGCTGTCTGCACAGCACTTGATTTTCTGCTTCTAGCAGAATTAACAGCACTTGGAGGATAGCAGTAATTTAGAATTACTATGGGATTGAAGTGAGGAAACAGTTAAACATTTCATCTTCTAAAGCACATAATTCTAACAAAAATTGGGGCAAAAAAAGTGTTGGGACCATTAGACAATTTAGCTTAGCCTAAAATATTACCAACATATTGTATCCAGAGAACAAGGAAGAGATGGGAATGTTTATTTACATCCACTTCCTTCTTCCACTGTAGCTTCCAGGGTCAGAGCACACTGAGAAAGGGCTGGGATTGCACTGCCAGGTAACATCACAGTCATGACGAGTGAGTAGATTTAAGGATCCTTTATTTCAATGTCTTCATATTAAAACACAAGTAAAAACACTCTTGAGACACATTCAGATCCTGGTGACCACATGACTATATCCAAGCAGCTTTCTGGACCAAGATTGAAGTGGTTTGCCATTACTTTGATTGGGTTCTTTTTAAGTCTCTGGTGGTCTCCTATATATGTACTAACCAGGCCAAACTCTGCTTAGTTTCTGAGCTCAACAGGGTTAGGCAGGTGCTGCACACTGAGTGAAACTAAACTTGAAATCTGTCCATGGTTTGACTACTGTATATGATAAAAAGAAAAATACCTGATATATTCTGGTTTCTTCTTCAGCTTTGCAGATAGAAATTTCAGGGCTTTTGCACTTGCAAATGTAGAATAGGAGATTGTGACTGGGTAATCTGTTTCTTCACATGGTACTGGACATGTTGAATTATGTGTTCCTCCTGTACATAATCCCATGAACTCTATTTTATCTAAAATGGGGAAAAAAATAAATATTGCACACACACACACACACGTAGGTATGCTAAATTAGGGTCTGGTTTATCTTTTTAGATAATAGGTATTCTTTGGATGTTTATGTTATCTTTTAAGTAAAAATAAATATTATTTAATTCTTAAAATGAATGTACTTAAAATGAACATTAATTAATATACACTTAAATGAATATTAATTAATTAATATATTTCTTTATTTATTATTTATTATTAAACTTGTATGCCCTAATATATAATTAACCGAGTAAACTAAAGGCTTTTTTATACAGGTTTTTAAGGAGAAGTGTTACTATTTTGGATGATAATTCCTGACTGTTTCCCACACTGGCTGGAGGTTAATGCAACTTGGATTCCAAGAGGGTTCTATTCATTTATAAAACTAATGTTGGTATTCTTTATTATGTACACCCAGTCCTAATTTTAAGCTGAAAGAATTGAAACTATTTTGAGAAAACTAAGATCCTTTATCTATCTGAGCCATTGATAAGTATGTTAATAAAATATTTACTGAAGTCCAACTGCACTCGTTTCATTTTTATTCTTTGCAACCCAGCAGAACAAAATTAGGTAAAGGGGCTCAAGATTCTGTATGTCCATTAACAAGTTCACTCTCAAAAAACTAAGTGGAATAGGACCAAATTTGGTATGATGGGAGAAGCTAGCAAAACGAATAAGTTCCAAAATTGACTGGATCCTATTTGGGACTGTAAAGAAAAACACTCCAGAAAAAAAATCCCTCAATGAATCTGTATGGGAGAGGCAATTGTACAGCTTCTCCTTATGCTGCCAAATGCTCCATTCTAAATACCTATCCGTACTGGTCACAGGAACTAGGGAAGAGCATATGGAGCCACCATGTGCTGTCCAATCTATGCATACACACATGACACATAGAACATATTATTTCTTTTCCGAGAAGAAAATATAAAGGTTTCCTTTGGCCACTGCTGGTAAAAGGGTCGGAAAGAATTCAAGAAGCCATGCCCTGCATGTTTTCCTCAATTGGTTATTCCCATCAATGTAACATGCCAGACTCTTGTTAACATGTTGCCTAATTCTTATTATTCTGTCTTGACAATGATCCTGCATTTATATGATTGGGATATACATATAGTTAGGAACATCCTAACCGAATGTGCTGTTTCATTCTAGTATTACATCTTACTGAACCTCAGCAGCATTGGTGCAGGAACTCAGATCATGTACCATCATTTACCCGGTGGCCAATCTTATCATCTCCATATCATAGTGATCTGACTAGATACAATCTGGGTCAGCTACAATGGGATTTATGAACCAGTTTTTAGTTTTGTGATACTTGTTTACTGGTTATACTCACACAATGTAGGAGAAACACAGCTGTAAAATTTTTCCAAGTCACATTCTGTGCCATTTCCTTTTCAACAGGTGCATGAAACAGTTGCAGTAAATGAAAATGAGAAATATAAACCAAAATATGAACAGCACATTCAAACCTACATTTCTATTCATCTAACAATTCAGCTTTATTTCTACTCACAGGGTGTGTATAATATCTCTCTATATAGGAGAAAGAAAAAGGGTAAAAGTATTTCTATTAACCTATTCTTTTGATGTAGCAAATGGCAATTTCAGCCATTCTTCCCAGTACTTATGATTCCTTTTCAGTTTTGCCTGAAAGTGGTATGCAGAGAAGGTCTAGGTGAGGCAAAAATAATTCCAGAATGCCCACTCTCCTTCCCATAACAGAGGCACCCCTAGACTTACGTGTTGCATTCATTGTTGTATATCATAATGTGTGTATTTCTGTTTTGAGGCTCACACATTTGTATTTTAATTTAAATATGTTGTAACTTCTGCCTCTTGATAACTTTTTTCTCCAGTCATGATACAATATTATTGGCTTTTTTAAATCCCCACCCTTTATAAAATAAGAAGTACATCTGCCAAGTTGCACCTGGTAGCATAAAAGGTAAACATCCACAGTGCTTTTGTATAAGATGACTCTTGCATTCTTGTAGACATCCATAGGTACTATAGATTTGGTGATACTGAAGTTTGATGTTTGGATTGCATTCTCCCCAAGGGTATTCTTGGATAATTGTCTGAAATGGGGGGGAGGGAAAAAAAAAGGAAGTCCCATGCTATGTTTAGAAAATAACATCTATTTCAACTGTCAAGTATTGACTGACCGACTTAAAAAAAAAAATCGCTATAAAAGAAACATTTTCAGTACAAACCATCTTCAAGTGCAAAGACTTTTGGAAACCTGTTAACTGTCCTGCCAGTTGTAATGGACTGAATTTTACTGCATTGTTCTTCTGGAAAACTAAGTACAATTGTCCTTAGCAAGGCATGTGTTCACAAGCACAACTGAATATACTGTGAATTATACCCCGTGTTGAAATAAATGAAAAAGCTATAGCGGGGACATGCTCATGTTGCTGTACAGCAGAATCAAAGTCCAATCTCAATGTAACTTTTAAAAATGCTGCTTTTTTTATCCCTTCCATTCTCTAACCCTAACCCTAACTCTAACCTTATTTGTCCCTAGGTTTTATTTTAAAACAGTTCATTATCAGGATTGAATTTCATTTAACAATACAGATCAAAGATTAACATTGCAGTCCTAAATCCTAAAGCTCTACAATCTCTTTGAGACTTATTCTTTACAACTATACAAAGGATACATTTTATTATTTATTCATTTAAAATATAAGAAAGAAAATAATAAAACATGAACTCACTGAACCCCATTTTGCATATCTAATGCTAATACTTACTTTTACCTGTTGGATTGCAGCGTGGGCATGCATCCCCACTGGTGTAGATACACCTAAACCATCAAATCGGGGAGGTTCTTTAGGTGAGTGGATAGCAAAGGTTATGCCAGCATCAACAAAACCAAGACTGGGATCATCAGTGAACTGATCCTAATATGATTTATTAGAGAGAGAGATAGTGAAATAGATGGGATAAGTTCCAGTGATCTATGAATCGGTCTGATACAAGACCAACTTGCTATGATTAATTAAAACAACAACAACATAAAGTACATAGTTATGAGGCAATTGCCATATTTTGTAATATGTCATTGATCATTATTAATCATCCCTCAGCTATACCTTAGGTTAAAGTTGAAGTTCTATACACACTTACTTGACAGCAACTTCTGAGCATTATTTAAATTATCTCAATACTCTCAAAATGAATATGAATATTTTTTTATTACGGTCACTGACCAGAATTACAAACAAAAACAAATGTAAAAAGTTCACAGTATACATTTTAGGTCTTTCTGAGTATCACACAAACTTCCATTCAAACTTTTGTATACATACAGTATCTCAGTATCTGGGCTGGAAACTGAAAAAGAAGTGAGTAATGTTTGAATATCCCAAATAAGATAAGAACTGAAGGGCACTTAGACAATGGAAAATATCCTGATAAAGAACGCAGGTTAAAAATATACAACCTACTGCTTCTATTGCTCCACAACCACAAGAGCAGACTCTTTCACCACACCTGGTAGACACCAATATGTAACTAATGTCATTTGTGCAATGACATCATGATACATGTATGATGGATTGCGATGAGAAGGTTCAAGGACAGAAGAATCTCCTCAGCCCACAGCTTGAGCATGGGAAAGCAAAGTGGATGACACTGGCACCACCCTAAGGAATTCGTAGTGTTTAGTTGCTGGCTTGGGGAGTTTAGAGTTAGTCTGGTGAGATTCTGTCTAGCAGGTGTGAGCTAATAAAATAACTGAGCTGTTCCAGTACTGTCTTGTGGAGTTTCTTGGGCTTAACCTGACTCGTGATATCATTGGTGCCCCCTTGCTCCCACTGCTGGCATTCTTGTGCCTCATTATGTGGAATTTTCCTGAATTTAACATACTGCAGTTCGGAAAGAAAGATATTTCAGCTTGCTATGCTGATTTGTATACAGAAGTTGTTAAGTTACAATAATATTAACTGGTTAAGGTAAGCAATTTATTCTATCCAAATGTAACCAAAGACACAGCTATTTGTTATTCTGAATCATTAATTCTTGTTCAGTGCTCACTTTAGCATGCTCAAATCATAAACCTAAAGGTGATCTTGTTGAAAAGCCATATGATCAGAATTTAGCCTCCAAGTAACTGCACTGCAAAAATTGATAGGGGTCCGCTAGTGCTAAAGGAGCAAGTCCAGAAGGAACTAGATTTAACCTGAACTAAAAATAGAAACAATAGCCCAAATCCTCACCTCATGTTACAATAATCTAGCCTGAAGTCTTAAAATGCCATGCATTTGAATTTGGAAAATAGATCTTAAAAATTGCATTTGACTATTTCTAGGAGGAGGAGAGTAGAATATAGACCAGGTTGGCATACTTAAGCAAGGCATCATTACTTTGAAGGAAGCCTGGTAGTGCAGCAATACCCTGCTGGGTATTTTTGGACCTGTATTTGATGTGCTGTTTTAGGGCTCCAGAATGATGAAAGACAACTTTCAGATATTTGAATCCTGGTTTGCAGGTGGCCAACTGCTTCAGTAGGTGGCCACCTGCAAACCAACAATAATGGTTATGTCTTATCAGAAAAAACTCATTTTTTTTAACTTCTGATGATCAATTTTCAGCTTAATGTTCTTAATGGCGATGTCATCCAGTTGAGCAGGATTGCTAGTTGTCTTAGGATAGTGGGATTTTTTTCCCGTCACTCTCTGCACTAAGGAATTAATATAACTCTTCAAGATTGATGTGTCAAAATGTTTTATTCCTCTTTTATTTCTCAAGTCTGACTCAAATGCAGCTTTAAAATCCAGAAACAGTACATAAACTGGAACCCTAGGCCTGGAACTGTACTTCCTAATTAGGAAGAATTAGGCAATAAACAACGCTGGATCTCCCCTCATGAAAATGTACTGACTCCTCTGAAATTTCTCTCTTTCAAATCGATTTGGTAGTTTCCATAACAAATGCTCAACGTATGTCCACTAGTTAATGTGTGGAATGCAACAGAGGTGGCAGCACCCACCCAACCTTCACGGATATAAAAAGGCTAAGCAGTGTCAGAACCTGGTGAATACTTTCTGGAATTCCCAGGGCAGAAGGAAAACAAACGAACCTTGAAAAAGACAACGGCAACATCTTCATAGAGTTGCCGAGAAGTCTTAGACTATATAGTTACTAGGAGCAGAAGTCAAGTGGAGGGAGATTTTACATTAGCATGTATGTGCTTGCAGTATAGAGCTGAAGCAATATACCATCACTTTCAAACTTCGACAGCACTGAAAGGCTGAGCACTGAGTTCAAAACTGTCTGACAAATTCATACAATTTGCCAGTCCCCAATCTATATCCTCCAGGCGGGTTGGATTGCAATTCTCATCTCTTCTCATCTTATTACTCTCAACAAGATCAACATGGAGACCCACGGACTGGGAATGATAGGCACTGAATCATTCTAATATAACTGAGGTATCAAAATGGAGAAAGCTGTTATAGAGAAATCATGTGTTTTGCTATGTATGGCTGCTGGATCATCAGACATAAATGAAAGAGGGGGAAAAAGGCATTTCATAGAAGCATAGGGTGGGACAGTATTTTGAGGGTAATCTAGTCAACCCCCCTGTCCATTGGAGGAATCTATCTCATCCTGGACAAATGGCTGTCCAATCTTTTCTTGGAAACCTCCAGTGATGGGACACCCATAAATTCAGGAGACAGACAGTTCCACTGCTTAATAGCTCTGACAGTCAGGAAATTCTTCCTTATTTCAAGCTTTGATCTCTCCCTGTTAAACTTCCACCCACTGGTTCTTGTCTTACCTTCTACCCTGTAACGGCTTGTACCCCTGACCCCACCCTTGATTTTTGCCTCCCCATGCTTGCTACCCATGGCAAGGAAATAATGACAAACAAGTGATAGCAGTTCAGTAACTAGTGGAGTTGCAAAAATGTCACATTCATGAGAATATCTCTACCTGTTTGACATCAAAAAGCAAACTCAGGCCTCTTCCAGAAATGCTAACCCTTCTTCTTGTAGGAAGGTTAATATGATTAAAAGTAAAGCAGTTCCCATATTCAGTAAAGACATGCTCAAAGTCCTTCCATGAAAAAAAAAAAAAAAGCAAATGAAAAATGGAGTTAGTATTTTCTCACAGAAGTTGAAGCTTTCAAGTTTTGCTATTATATGTGGCATCTTAGTACCATGGAAATCAGTGAACGAAGAGGTTTGTACTACACACAATTTTGCAAGTATATTTCTAATTTAAAAAAAACCGAAAGGTGAATTTCAGCTCTGGCTAAAGGTCACTGTTGAAAGTAGGCAATCAGTCCAGGTCATCATGCATAGGCTTGTAGTTAGGTCCCATCAGTGAAATTGATGTTTATTATGGAATTTTCAGTCATAATGTTAATTGCTTTTGTTTAGCATAAATAAAACTGGATATTAATGATGTGGAATCTCCTTGGGAATATGGGTGTGGGAACTGTTTTTATGAGCTCAATAATTATTACAGTTTGACCTTTTTTTGGTGGATGGGTGGGAATTCATTTTTGAACTAAAACCCCAGTTTTAATTTGTGAATTAAAAACCCTAGTTTTTAATTTTTTTGCTTCCATTCCTCACTAACAACACATGGTTATGATAGGTCATTAGCCAATGTTTGTATTATATCCATTAGACAATTTTTCTCTGAAGCAAACTGACCAGAGAAAAATTGGCACAGATCTTCCCCTTCTATTTTTGTACTTGTATTTCCTAGTGTTGTGAATGTTATGTATGTTTTAGCTAATCTACACTTTATTTTCATAATATTTTAAAATACTTTATAGTACTATATTATGTTTTAAAAGGTAGACTTGGAGGGCAAATTTGTTTTGGCTGAAAATATCATTTCTTTCTTTCTTTCTTTGTTTATTTAAACATATAGCCGTCCACCTCTCAGCAGTGACTCTGGGTGGTGCACAGATTAAAATCAACAAAACATAATGCCACAAATAGAATCCCAAACAATTACTACTACTGCAACTAATGATAGTAATACACAAATGCCCAGACCTTTCATTCTGTATATAGGCTTGGGGGAAATAAATTAGGTAGGTAGGTTCCTATAACACTCTAAACAAAAAGAATTTTTCTTCATTCCTATCTTACAATTCAATAACAGCCATGTTAAGTATCATATTATATATTTCTCAATGTACATATAAATTGAAGAGCTGAGCAGAGATTTATTTTTTTGTGTGCATTCTTAAACTGTATAGTTCATGAATTCCTATTTAGCAAAAATAAATTAGAATTATTTCTTCTATTCAAGCATGCATAATTTGTTTAATTTGAAGTACTATTTCAGTCATAAATGTTGCCTTTGTGCCCAGATGAGTTGAATAAATCCCACAATAAAAAAAAAAAAAGAATTTGATTGTGTATATGATAGCATCAATATTTGCTTTGTGGAGTGTTTCACTAATGTATTTCTACACTCCTATGTATTGGTGAAACATTGAGCAAAAAATCTCCAACCTTGAGATATATTAGTGTGTATTATCACATTGCATTTGCATTTATAATAGTGCATTATGATCTTTGCATATGCATAGTCCTTTGCTAAAAATAAAAATATGCATTCTGATAGCTACATATGCATTATTCTCTTACCATGGTAGAAAGATGTCTTTCAGATTTCAGACAATATTCTTTCAGACAATATTGTGTTTCAGATCATTAGATAAAGGCTAAATTTATTTCAGCATTTGGATAACTCACCATCACAATATCTACTCATTTTTAATAAAGGCAAAAATATTACCTTTGAATTGCATTGCTTCCCAAAAAATTCACAATTCAGCAATGTGCTGTTGTTGAGATAAAAACCATTATTTCTTGTGAATTCTTTGATGCTGAAATTTTGATTCCCTTGAATAAAATCTTGTAGTTCTTGGCTAAACTTATCATCAACATTAAGCATACGAAGAACTCCTGACACTATGCTCCACAGGAAGAAAACGATGCCCAGGTTAGCTACTGCTTGAGTTTGGAACCTATGAGCATAAATCAGAAATGCAAATATAAGTTTTGAATGTTTAAGTAGCCCAAGGCTGTCCATACTTTTTTTTTCTAAGTAAAGATGGATTACAAAGAGTTTATTTCATCTTACACTTGCTATAATATTGAGATCTTTAATTCTTATTTAAATGCATACTCTAAAATGCTAGAATTGATAGCCTTGATGGCTGTCCAGTTGTGATCTTTATAGCTTAAAATCATACAGGACACAAGGAAGAAAATAGTGCCTTACCTGTTCAGATTACAGAATGTTACAGCAGGAAATTCAATCTTCTCCACATATTGAACTACAACTGAGGTGGTGGTGGGCCAGCTGAAATAATTGATGAAACGACAACAGATCTGCCAGGCAACTAAGACAATGGAGCCCATGACTACTACCATCCATAGGAACTTGCGTGTCTTGCTCTTGGTATGAACAATATTGTGCACCCCATGGAAGGAAGTGGAAGTTGCAAACTCATAATCATATTTTTTCCTTTCTTCTAAAGATGGTAGAGTCTTTCTTGTGAAATAGAACCTGGCTTTTTCCAGCAATCCTTAACATTTAACAAATAATGAAAAAGGTCTTTCAGAATGGATTTGGTAGAATAAAGGATACTGTTCTTGAAGCCCCCACCTTAATGATAACATAGTGTGGCCATTTTTCATTATTTTGTGTATTATTCTTGGGGTCTACATATTAAGCATGTCTCTCCAAACAAATATTAAGAAAATAAAGTATCAATGATAAAGGATAGCATTATTTAATGCAAAAACTTACAAGAAATAGTACAGAGACATTTTCCTGTGAATCCAGTTATTTTCCTATTATTTCACTTGTCTTCATAGTCTCCTTCTCATTCTGCAACCCAAGCTTGTGCATGATGAGTTAGATGTAAATACCGTATGGCATTCTTTTAAGTATATGAAAAGTTGCAACTGCAGTTTACCTACATATTGTACTCAAAAGAGTTAAATATTCAAGATATTTTTAACAAGACAAGTGTTTGCAATTTTCATGATGTCCATAGAAAGTGAATAATGCCAAACGGTACCCGCTAATATAACTAAGACAAGCCAACTCAGTATAATAACTGTCACAGCGTACCTTTGCCATGAAAGCACCTTAATTTTCTAAGCTTCTCCATTAGACAAATATTAGAAGACTCAGCTCTAGACCATGGGCAGTTAATTGCTTTTATAACATCAGGAAAGGGGTGGGGATTATATTAAATATACAAGGTGCAATTTGCCTGTCTCTGTTGCTACACTCATTATATATATTTTTAAAGGTCACAAGAAGGCTAAATGCAGGAGTCTGAGCACACAAAATATCAGATAAATAAAAAGGTGAGAGCCACCTTTTTAAAGGTATAAATAATATTATAATTAATGAATCAAATGTTAATTACTAGAACATCAGGCCAGAATGCAAAGATATATTTTGTATGCAACTTGGTACTTTTGATCCAGTCATTTGTTTTGTTTTTTCACTTTTTTTTCCCTTTTGAAGCTTCTTAATGCAATTGCATAGAAAGCTTTGCGTGAATTACAGTGCATTAGCTGGCAGCTTTCCCCGTGAATGCAGAATGTTCAGCTGTTGTAATTAGTACACAGGTTACCACATGATTTGCATAGATTATTATTCAGGTCACAGTTCTATCATAGAATCAGGAGAGTTTTGTGATTGGAAGAAATCTCCATGTATTCTGATGAAGTTCAGAGTCTGTTTATAAAACATGTGTGTAGATGTACAGTATGTGTAGAAATCAGTTGTCAGGTGAAAACACAGAGCAAATCTGAATAGAGTTCTGATATTTTGCATAAATAGGGATTTTTATTATACAAGAGGAAGCCTAACAGTATGCAGTGATATCACGATTGCTCTTCTTAATGCACAAAATAAATATAGGAAAGAGAGAGGAGCATTGCACTCCAAAATTCTCCCCTTTAATATCTGCAATTCATTAAAATTCATGTTGAAGATTACAACTTAATGACATTAAAATGTATTATTTATTCTACACAATTTATTTATTGAATCCAGTTGGCTTCCCTTTGATTTACTTATGAAATTTCACAAAGCTCAAACAATGAATCGAACACGAAAATTCATGGCCATGAATAACACTAGAGGGAGCTCAGTAACTACCCATTGGAAATTCATGTTTGTGTCCTATTTCATTCTGGGAAACTCAGAATGAGATGGTGATAATTTAGTGTAATTCTGAGGAGTAGTAATTATTTGCATTAAATGTATCTTTTTACTGGAATCAGGATGGTGATGGGGGAAACTCCTTTCAAGATAGGGTGTGCCTTTGGCAGCTAGAGGGAACGGAACCAACTCAGTTCGATTTACTAGCTGTGATTTTCCCGAATAGCTTAGCTATGGCAAGTTCATATCTTAACTACTTCTAATTACTATTGTTAGAAAGATAGCCTTTCCCAAGCTGGCACGTACCCATGTATGATTTCATTCTATTTCATTGATTTAATTAATTCATGTTGAAATTCATTAAATTATCTGAATAATTTAGCTTAATTACTTAACATGGACTATTGTGGATCTTTGCTAATATCGTTAACTGCTTGCAGTTGTTATGAAATAGAGCAGTATAAAAAAAAGATAAATACATAATTTCTCGGCAAATCATTTATAAATCAAACAACAACAACAACATCCCTGCCTTCAAAATCAGAACTGGCTATTGCATGGCTTCTTCCCCTGACACCCCCTGCCTGAAATGTCCATGGTGTTAATGTAGATTATGTGACTCCTCCATATATCATGACTCTCTGGATACAGAAAGCAGAAGTAGCAGCATGGGAATTGTCATAAAAGTACCTTGTAAACAATGCCATAGTTAAGTGACATTTTTATGACAAGGCATAGAAAAAGGTATGAATTGGGTATTTAAAAAATCTGTATGTGGTTTTTATCCAGGGACTCAGGATTCATAAACATAAATGCATGTTTACAACTTACATTTTTTCACTTTCTCAGCTAAAAGTTGTACTCACTCACCCATTCATACAACCAGGTATGCCTACACAATTCAGAGTCTAACAGGGTAGGCTAAGCTGAGTTTCAGAAGAATAAGGACAGGACACTCATTGTGCATAGTGACTTGTCCTAAATGATAGCTCCAAAGGACTACAGTTTCTATTCTGGCACTTTTCTCATGATAATTTTCTACCCCAGTGCCATTGCTAGTTCACATGGGAACCATCTGCTGTTTTGGGAATAATTTTTGTTTTGAAAACTATCTTGTTATGTTGTTCTCAAAGTCTTCATTCTGCTACTTTTCCAGATATTGCATAAGCTGACATCTTCCTGAACAAAACTTTCTGCCTCTATGGTCTGCTTTGAGTGAGTCTTGTGTATTTCATTCTTTACACATGCATATTCACATTATTATTACACTGTGGCATCATGCAATGATTGGTGTTACCGCTAATAACAATATACTGGCATTAATGCACTAATACTAGTTATGCATGGCTAATTGTAATTTATTTAAAAACAATTTAACCTTAATCCAGTGAGCAATCTTTCTATAGCCAGGAGCTGTATTTTCGATATTTAAATTTTATTTAGCCTCTGAAGATAGCTGGGCTTGTGGCTGGTGATGTAGTGACATCAGGAAGAATGGGATTTGAGGCTATGAGATGCAAAAGATTTTGTATCTTGGTGGCTAAAAGATATATGGCCTAATCTAACATACTTTGTGGGGGGGGGGGACAGCAAACATTGGGAATGAGGGGCACCTGCAGAAATGTCTGTCAAAATGACTTAAGCAATGTTGCATCATTGCAATGCAAATCCCATTCCTTTTGTACCTGTGTGTACATCCTGACTTATATACAAAAGGGGTGATAGAACTTGTGCTATGATGGTGGAATTCTGGTTCTGTCATTTGCTTCCCCTTGACTCCCTGCAGGTGTCTCTGAATACCTGTAGCTGGTGCACTAAAGGCTACCAGTCCCTGAACTAACTTTTATTTTTAATGTAGCTTCCAAAAAATATTAGTTGTGCTGAAGTTTTCCAAATAAATGCTAACATACCGAAACTTTTATAATAACTTTATTAAAGTTTACAAATACAAAGATTAAAGACTATTACAAACTAAGAGAAATATAGAAGTGAGGAAAAGAAAAAGAAAAGTGCAAAGAGAGAAAAGAAAAGGAAAAAGGAAAAAAATAAGAAAAGGAGAAATATAAAAAAAAGACTTTCCCCTACCTCCAGACAAATGTAAACAACTTCAGTAACTTAACACCTTCTCTAGTGTTTCAATCATAAAAAGATCTCTTCTTCCCATATCTCATCTCTTATTAATAAACAAATTGTAAAAACTCATCATTCAGTCCTATTCAGCAAAAGTCCATTAAGAGTACCAGAAATAATAACATGTTTGTTTTGACTTTAATAAAATAAATCCATTTTGTATTCCAATTTATCACTTTCTCTAAGAAATAAAGCAAAAGAAATCTCTCTCCATTTATAAACAAATCTTTAAGGCCTTGTCATTCAGTCCTGTTTTTTTTTTAAAAAAAAATCCATTGATAGCTACCAGAAACCACAACATATATATATATTAACCCTGATCAAATAAATTCACTTTATATTCCTTCTATTTACTTTTAAAAACTTGTCTTTAATCCCATCAAATAATATCCCACAAATTGAATTCTTATCATTTTCTCTGTCTCCTCTCAGAAACTGCTTTAGTAGTTTAACATGTCCCTTTTTAAATCCAAGATAAGAATGCAATCCACGTCACTCTTCTGATTTATTATTTGTATGTCCCCTTTAGATACTAAAACATCAGCCAGTTGCATTCATAAATCCATTGAGGTATCTTTTGCCATATCACTTTTATAATCTGTATTTTTAAATCTGTTTTCAAATCCTTATCATCTTTTTCCATATCAATTCTTGTAGCCTGGCATTTTTTTAGAATCCATTTTCAAATCCACATTGCAGTCTCTATTTCGTCCAGCAGAATCTGTTTCTCTTCTATAACTTCTGTTAGATCTATTTTTATAGTGGTAGATAATCTTGAAAGTAATTTCTGAGTACATTGTTCCCAAACAGCCTCAATTTCTTCTATAGTCAAATAACATTGCTCCACTGTATTAATAGGTCTTTTCACCTTTAATTGTAATCCTTAATTCTCTCTGGTTTCCTCTAGTCAACCTTCAAAGTCCCCTCTTGTCATATGTTTATTTTCCAATCAGCAAAACTTTCTCACAGGAGGATTTCTTAT